TGTCAGGTTTTCGCGAATGATGCGTAGTAATGCCTTCACCCAGTGAATTCATACTAACTTTGAATAAACACGACCTATCTTAGCAAACAACGAGTGAAGACTTTTTCATAAGCCATGTTCGTATTCCACGATTTCGCCGACTAATAGATTAGGCAATGATGAAAAAGATAGGTAAAGATCGTCAGAATGGGACATTACGAGACATAGGAGATCACGAGATTAGGGGACTGCTTTGGAAACATGATACGTACTGAATGATTTGACTGAAGACGTCTAAATTCTTGTTGCCTATTCTCCTAAACCGTGAAGTAAGAACGCGAACCAGTAACGCCCACGCGCGGCGCAATCAAACGACATTCGTGGACCTTCCATAAGATAACCCCTAAAAGGTAACATTTAAAGAATTGCTGGTCCTATATAAATTTCTCTATTTAAGGCGGAGTTTGCGATGGAAAGGCTGCCCACTAGGTGTTAAGGTAGAGGAGGTCACTGAAGCAAGGATGAAGAAAAACAACTTAGATCCGGGGAAATGAGACTCCTTTCCGCCTGTTGATTTGTGCGTTAGGCGTATCTCATCGGTGCTGCCCTCATCAACTCTAGCGCTCTCCCTTCCAGGCGGCTAGAGCCATACGGCGGGGAGGATGGGCGGGCAGCGGCGATGGCGGCGCGTGGATGGCCATGCTAGAACGCTGGGGCATGTCCTTTGCTGCGGACTATCTGTCGATTTCAGAGGGAGCCGCCTGTCCTTCTACTACGTAGATAGCTTCCCCCTTCTTCGACCTTCGACCTTATCTTGGAATCCTCCTACGATGTCATTTCATGAAAAAAAAGTTAGTGGAAGAAAAAGATTCGAAACTTACTGTAAGACACATATTCCTAAAATATAGCCCCAAGCTGTAGGTATAAACAGATCACAGCCAAAGATGCTCAATGGAGGCGTATGATTTGCAGCATGGAAAGCTTCGACGATCTCATCTCCGAGGAGTGCGTATCCAGGGATAGATAGAAAGTGCTGAAACATTAAGGTCATTAATTAAACGATTGACGTAGCTGTGAAGGGGGTCTTTCAGAACGTCCACTTTCCGCCCAACCTCTACTGATGGCTACAAAAGTAAGATTCCACAGGAGAGTTAATGTATTGTACGAAGACTGTACGAACCTATCAAATGGGGCTGTGGATGGCCCCACAGGGTTAACCGATACAGCGGGACTACTGCTTACATGAAACATGAAAGTGCCACTTTCGCTTATCTCGCAGAACAACGGTAGCCGCCTAGCCATAGCATGGCTCACTTAGGTCACGTACCGGTGTCGAAGCGCCAGTGCCGATGGAGCGGTCCTTCTCCTTGTTTCCGTATTCGAAGCTCTTGCAACGGTGGCCTTTCGACGTCGAAGGTACCCGACCAAGAAACAAGAAGCTAAACTCGCTTTGCTTGTTGACGAAATCGTCGACGTCAGACTGAGTGAAACGTGAGCGAGTTTTCTGGAATCACTACCCCGGCACTTGAAGGAATAGGCCGCGATTAGATCCTTAGAAAAATCCCCTCCTTGAGTGAGGTAGTAGAGGCCTAATCAAAGGGGTGGTGGTACTGCCGCGCCTTGGAAGTGCGCGACAAGGGAGCTAATGCCTTCGCTGGAACGCTGCAAGCGCTGCCATTCCTATCATAACGGCATACGTGGCGTCTGCGCCCTCTCGCGTACGACGTACTCTCTCGCGTTTTCCCTCTCCTCGCAGCGCTGTGTCTCTCCGTCGTACTACGGCCGGCCTCACAAGGGAAATTTAGTGTTTTCTATGGTGCTTTTTGCTTTTTCTCCACTAATATTCCTCATTGCACTTTTTGCCTAATTTTAGGAACAAAATAACACAACAATTTCATTGCGACCCGTGCTTTTAAAGGCACATTTCCGTAATTGTGAGGACCACTTCTTTTCGCGAGCAAGATTGCTGCACCCTCTACAGCAGCTACAGGACCACTTTGACTACTCGAAATGTTTGAAAAGGAACGCGACGGGCTTGTAAGTTGCAATCATGGCCATCGGCTACGATCTCTCGTCCTCGTTTGTGGCTCTCTCGTGTCCAACACCCACTGTCTCCTTGGCTGATTGTCTCCCACAGCCTCGTGCAGCACAGTACGAGAAAGTTTCATTTGGGGCGTTCTGGGTAGTTTCTGTTTCGTTTCTTCAGCGGCTCATCTCGGCTTCATCAATTTGCACCTGCTGCTCATGTTTGAATCACCCATTTACCCTGCTTCTACTATCGCTGAGTCTACCTTCAGGACAAACATGAACACTTAAAAAAGAAGTGCGAATGGCTCGCTCAACTTCTCACTTCACACTCTTCAATTTGTTACAATCCTCAACTCTTCGTTTTTATTGTGCCAATATCGTTTGCAAACGCAGAACTCACCACCATGAACATGGACTCTTTAGCATGCTTTCCATAAACTCTGTACATATCCTCTTGGCATACGCCCAGATACGCACTCAGCATCAGTGCCGCGTGAGAAGGAAAACTCCTAAACAGATCCGTTGTCTCTAAAAGTTCCATTAAACTTCTATAACTGAACTCCTACACAGAGAAAAATAGAACGCTGCTTGAATAATTCGTGGAAAATTTCTTTGTCTTTTCGGACCCAATGACACCAGGTTTTCACCTATTAGTGACTGATCGGCGTGTGCGCAGTGCGGGATGGTAGGCGCACGGTCGCGTAGTGGCAGTGCCAGTGGTGGAAAAAGTTATCAAGAACGATGGGTGCGGGGAAAAATAGCATGCACTTCAACCAAACTTAGCTCAACCTGCTTCAGAGAGAAAAAGACCATGGTTGGCTTGGGTACAATTAAGATGAGATTTTGTCACCAACCATACATGAGGAAAAGGCACATATTGACTGCTAAGAGGATACTACTGAAGGGGTATCAAATGCTCGAATTTAGGTATGAGATTCTCAATATTTACCAGCTCTTTCAACTGATTTTACGTCGGTACTTTCAATGTGATCAAAAAACCGTCAAAAACGACCCCCTCCCTTCCCACAACGAACAACTCTTAAAAACTTCCAAAAACCATTGCCTGAAGAATGATGTTGGCGAACTTCGTATAGCTTGCCTTCAAAGAATTCTTTCCCCCCCCCCCCCCCCCCCCCCCCCCCCCCCCCCCCCCCCCCCCCCCCCCCCCCCCCCCCCCCCCCCCCCCCCCCCCCCCCCCCCCCCCCCCCCCCCCCCCCCCCCCCCCCCCCCCCCCCCCCCCCCCCCCCCCCCCCCCCCCCCCCCCCCCCCCCAAAGGACGGTAGACCCAGCGTCAGTAGCGGCATAATTTATCACCTTCTCAGGCGGTCCAACGATAACGGTAGCGTGACGGAGGACGATACTATCACTGTCATCATTACCCAATCTTAAAAAAAACACATTCCAATTCTTCTAATTTGTCTATTTCCAATCAAGGCACGATATTTGTTGGCAAGACGCCCGCAATCAGGATTAACACGTGCAGAAGAGCTCGTCGTGGTCGCTGACTGGTTCGAAGCGGAAACCAGCGGCCAGAATGACGGTCCCTTTTAACGAATTTTGTGCCGTTTTCTTAATTTTTTCAACCACCACACGATTTATCATCCCTACTTTCACTTTCAATGGCTATCAATTTGTCGCATCGTCTGCCTTTAAGTTCTTATGGCAGCATAGCTCTGTCGAAAGCATCGATTGGACAACTGTCAAATAGAGCTTTTTCGTTATAAGCAATAATAATTAGCCACCAACCTATGAAAAATGGTTGAATCGAGAAGAAGCGCACTGATTCTGATGCCTTCGAATTAGCCACTGGATCATAACTGGCCAGCGTAAACAAAACAATACCGCAGGTGACAGAAATTACAGATGCTATCTGCTTCCGTGTATAGAAATGATTTCGTAACGTGAAACCAAGTATGATATTCGCTAACAAAGAACCCTAAACGATTTTTTGGAGGACGCTCCCTGTTAATAATCATTAGAATCACTTGAGAACTAGAGACTTACCGACTTGAATATAATGAACAGTGGGAAATAAATATCACATTTTATAGAATAATTATTACACAGATTAACTATAAAAAATATGACGACAATCTTCAAATAAACCCTGAAAATAGGAGTTACGGTTGATGAATCCGCTCTACGTATTTATTTAAAAGGCACAATCTGCACTGGAACAGATGTTGGCTATTGCATATGAAAATGAAATGATAACTAGCCCATGAAATGAAGGGAGCGCAAAACTTCAAGCCCTTAAAATCACATTACGCGCTGATGGGTGGCCGGTCAATCAACAGTGCCAATTAATGAGATGTGTACGAG